GGGGGGGAAGAACCTAGCTGCCTTCTTGTATCACTTGTGATATTTAGGTCATTTCTTTTCATTTGCCTTTTTGCACTCTCTTGTGGAGTCCAGCAGTGAATAAAAGCCAATTTAATTACGTGTACTATGTACTATAACCTCTGATAGCACCCCTTAACGTGATTGTCCAAAGGCAGTTAAGCATAAGGATGGAGATTATTTACAAGTCTGTGTTTTTATTCAATGTCTGTCCTTAGCTATCCTGAAATTACCTAGAAGATGATCTTCAGTGCTAAGTAACTTAAAATAACCATGTGATATGCACAGCATTCTGTTCCATCCCCACTGAAAAAGTAGAGCTAAGCAGCAAAGTAGATGGAAAAGAGGTGCTGTCACTGATTAATTGCTGTTAAAGTACAATAAAAATACAGGCTATTAAAACAAAATAAATTAATGTTTTGATACTGCATATTTGACCAGTAACCATATTTTTTTTGTTTGGGACAGTGATAGATTGTGCAGCAATCAATTATTCTAGATCAAGCATATTCAAATAATACATTGTGACATTCAGTAATTTGTTATTTGGAATAATTAGATGGTTACTTCATTGTAGTGCAGACAAGGCAGCTAATTTGGTTTTGATCTTTATAAAAAGGGAAGACTTCATTTGTTCAATGGAATTGCTCTTTTTAATTAAAAAGGCTAGTTTTCTCATTTGCACTTTATATGAAAGTTGGCTTATAAATACATAATAGTACATGCAGAATGCTGACCAAAAATAAACATTCACATTTGGATTGTTCACTGTTGCCTTTTTCAGTGAGGAAATGAAAGTTCTTTTGAATCCTGAATATCTGGAACATGACGCCTAGTAAGTTTTAACAACTTCCTTTACATTTAACTTGTTCTTACTTGTAATACATTATTTAACACCAAGTTTCTGGGTTTTTCCCCCTTCAGTGCAATGTTCACACGTCTTATGAAAACTGCAGAACATTGGTTTTCAACTTTTGAACATGACAGTCAGAAGGTAAATATTGCTCTAAAATGTTGTACGAACACAGAGTCTCCTATGTATGAGTGATGTTCTTGTGTAGCATTCAAAAGAAGGCCTGTCATAGGCACATCTATGTGCCCAAACCCTGTGCAAACGTCATCTTAAATAAATACATATAGGCAGTGTTTAACGTATTGAGACTTGAATTGTTTTAAACCATTTACAATATAAACAATTTGCTGTGAAAGCAAAACTTTGATCATAGTCCATCGTAGGTCAGGGTGCATCTTTCTCTGACTTCATCATTACATTTCCTTCCTTTTTTTTTTCTTTTTGACCTCGGGATATTCAAACAGAAGGGACGTCTGTGCCCTCAGATCTCATGTGTAGCTATACAGGTGCCACTGTATTTAGTATGTTGCCTCTTTTCATGGAAAAGCTTTTTCTGTGTTCTGAGTTTAGTTCTACAGAACACTTCTTTGCAGGAACCATCTAGGGACCATCTAGACCTTGCCTGTAACCGTTTTTCATGTATGGCATGAGGGACAATTCCCTCTGTCCATTTTGCCTCAGTCAGTTGCTCAAGATTTCCTTTGAATACTTTTTTCCTGTCTCTTTCTCTGTTTACATTTCTCTTTTTTTAATTCTGAAAAATGATTTGTGTGGAGTGTATGTAGAAGGCTCTAGCAAAACATAGCCATATTACAGGTATTGCCAAGACTTTCAGTGTATTATATCCTAAAAGAGTTGTCCTCCAAACTTAGTTCCAGCTTGATTCACGTCAGCATTTTCACAGAGACCATGAGTTGAGTATCTAGAGTTAACAAAAAATTAATAAGAATTTGGTTGGTTTTGGATGTCTACGTGTGCGCACCAAAACATATATTTGCAAACTGTAATTAGGGAGTAGTAGTTTGAGAGGTGGTTTTGCCTGTCTGTTGAAGAAAAAGATGTCCACTCAAGACTCACATAAAAGGTTCTATTTTCTTTAAATGTTTAAATGTATCTGTGTATATATTTTATTAGACACGGAGCACTGGTATCTTGGCCTAAGCCATCTACAGTTATAAATAACTGTTTGGATTTGGGTTTTTACATAATTCTCAGTAACTAAGGATAAAGTATATGAGATACAAATTTTATGAACTTATTACAGAGTCACTTTTATTCCAACAACAAAGCTGAGACATGTTTCTCTGAGTGTAGCTGTTCAGAATTCGGTGTATTCAAATGTATTTGTTCCAATTTCTGTGACAGAGGTGGTAAAGTCTGGGGCTGAATTTTATTCGGGAAACAACTAGGTCTGCTAACAGTTTTACAGTGCTTGGGTAGAAGGTGAAAGTTTACATTGCCCTTTCCAGTCCTTTCGTGGCATAAAAAATTAACAATGCAAAGTGCATGGATTAATATCTAGTTGTTTGTTCTTGTTCTTTGCAAACATGTATAATCTTTAATAATCCTTTCTTGTACGTATGCCTTTTACAATCATGACTTTGAGGGCTGGCTACATAATAAAGTCTGAATCTTCACAAAGGAAGCAATGAAAGCATGTGCTCTGAGAGACATGTTACATTTTATAGCCTCTAACAGTTGGTTCCATTACTCCCAATTGCCATTAGAGGAGCTTCTCCAGCTACTCCATTCCCTAGTGGTTAATGAGAGAAATCTGTCCACGGTTTGTACTTGTACTATGTCCTAGCCTTTCTTTACTGCTGTAGCATTTGTTTCCTAAATGCATGAATATATAAATTGTATTAGTATTGACTGCCAGCCATTCCAGTTCGTGTTGTGGTAGGTAATGTTTTGTGGCAGGATTTGGTGACTCTGTTCCTAATACTTGATCTGAATTTTTCATCTGCATTTCACTGATATCCATATTTAAACTGTTCTTAGAGTTGAACCTGATGCTCTCCTGTAAACAGTATAGCACATCTCTGAGCCATCTCTTTGTCTTTTTATTGTGAACCGCATCCCTTTGCGATTGATCATTTGTATTTCGTGTTAGCAGTAGATGACTAAACCCATACACTCAAATGTTTTCCAAGACTTAGAAGCTCACAAAAAGAAAATGGATGTTTTTGTCTCATGAGGCAATTTAATATATAGTGAGTACGAGCAGGGGCACAGTATCATGTTGTCCACTTGGCTTCTGTGCTTTAGGCACAGGCACTGTGAGTCATTTCTAGTTAAACATTTTGGCGCCTTGGTTGTATTATATTTTTTGAGCAGCTTTCTGTTTGGGCTATTTCTTTCACACCAGCTGATGTGATTTTTTGGAGCAATTTCAACTGACTAAGTGTATTCTCATTTTCTCAACCAAATTGCGTGAGAGGAGACAACAGACGTACCATATGCAGTCTAGTCATCCACTGAGCTTCTTGGTGGAGTGCACCAAATCAGGAGGCATGGACAGTCAAGGCATTGATTATTGATTGCAACTGCTGTCCCCACAGATTCTGTCATGCTTTGAAGATTTCTGTTAATGGGGTTAATTTTTGAGATGCTGATGAACTGCATTTTGATGGATACCATTTACTTATCTCATGCTTTTAAAAATGGCACGCCAGCATGTATTATTTGATGCACTTAGCCATGTTGGTAGTCAGTCAGTCTGACAGTCAGCAATGTGTCAGTGCTGCATTATGCCAAGGTGCACAAATGCTGCAAGTGACAAATAACTCCAGTTTTGGCACTCCTCCGTAAGAGGAAGCTTGCATTAATTTTGATGTTCAGAATCTTTTGACACTTGAGCCAGTGTCTAAGAGTCTGTCTTCTAATTTTGTAAAGATGGCTTTAAACCCACAGACAGCTAATGATGTAAAGGCTAATCTGGTAACTAGCTAGTCTTCTCGTATTACAAGTTCAACTACGTAGAAAGATTCTAATGTTGAGATTTCTATACAAGAATCTATGCCTATAATCAAGAAAAGCTTAAAAATATAGATATTTTAAGTCATCAAAGTCATGAGTGCATGCAGTGGTCAAGCTGAAGTTAAATTCAACTTGAATAAACCAGAATAAAGTTCATACCCCAGATGTGTGCCAACTGATGGAACATGCACAGTCTATGAATATGTACAGTTACAGATTTTTATGATTAGTTTCAAAGATAAATTGATATGTTCATGCAAAAAATTAGTATAGGCTAGCATTTAACATTAAGGCAATGTTATCATATCATACTTTAAGAGTGTTTTTCTATATAGATTAGAAGGAGATTGGTGGATACCCTTTTGCAGTATTTTGCATTCTAGCATGTGACCAAGAAAATAATGAAATGGGTCTGAAGGAACCATAAGACATAGCCATACAATGGAGGAACAAAAATCTGGGTAAAAAGAAGGCTGCTTGATTTGGTAGTAAAGAAGTTAATAGAATAATTAAAAAAGGAGGTAGGAGAAATATCCTTCCTCAATGTACCTGCAGCTGTGAAGAACTTTAGTATTTAAGTAAGTAGCCACATTTCTTATTAGCCCCTAAGATGCTAGATGTTTTATTTTAAATTTCTGTTTGGTAGCACACAAAAGATTTTGAATGAAAGGATGCCATATCAGTGAGCTTTATTTGACAGTCTGAGGGAGCTTTTGTCAAACAATTTGCTGGGGCATCTTAAATGAATGTCTTGGTACCACAATAGCATGGCAAAATCACTGCACTGTAATAGACAGATCAGTCCCTTGGCTGCAATTGCCACAGCAAAGCAACAATTAAGCAGATTTTAAGATACAATTTATAATCGATCAGATCCTTAAATAGCAACATTTTACCTGAAATCACTGCTCAGCATCATACAATATTTTCTGCAGTACAGAAATGGAATAATTAAGAAAAAATATTTGAAGTAAAGGAGATCAACATAAAAAATAGGCTTTTTGGTAGAAATTATTAAATGTTCACTGCCCACTTGAATGTTAAACCATGTTGTAAATTATTGTGAAATATGAGTACTTCTCTTCCTTCCTCTTAAAATGCTGATACAGAGAGAATGGGGTTGAAGAGGGACTATAACCATAGGAAGCAACCTTGGGGATAGTTTATACAACAAAAAAAAACTTTCTTTGTTATTGAATGTTAAAAATAATGTGCTTTTCACCATATTGAACCAAGTGAATTTGTCTTTCAACAGTTTAAGCTGTAATGAAGTCTTCTGAAAGTATTAACCCTTTGACCTTGATAATGCTTCTCTATCAATATACTGAGCAAAAGGGTAGAAAAACAATAACTATTTTTTAAAGTGAAGCTTTCCAGTCAGAGAGCCATGATAACAGATTGCAACAAAATCATTGCAAAATCTTCTCTTCTTACTGTTCCAATTTTCCCTCTTTTGTAACTTTAACTTGTTCCTGACAGCTTAATTCTCCATTTCCCTTTCTTCAATCTTTATCTTGATAGGTATGACTTGTTCTTTTTTATTTCTCATCCTCCTTTTTATGCTTCCTATTCAATGGGGTTCATTACTTGCTGCACTTCTTTCTAGCATTCTCTCTCTTTTTCAATAATACTTCACTCTTTCGCAAGAAGACCAAATTTAAAGCATTATCAGGTTCAAGCATGCTAATACTCCAGTAGTTTTCTTCCTCTGTGTTCACTTGGTGTGTGTCATGTTCTAGATCATGACATAGTTTGCGCAACCTTCAATTTCTTTTTTGTTTTAAAAGTTTTCTGATGCTTTATCAAAGTTGTGTAGATTTTGAGGTACAGCCACCAGATTTTCTGAGCAAGGGAAGCCTGTTTAGAAAGGATTGTTTGAAAATAAGTTATTTCCTATTTGGTATGCAATTTATTGTCCTCTGAGGGCATATATGCTCTACTAAGTTACCATTTGTCTGCTTTGCTCTGGACTGACTCAGTCTGCTGATGTTAAAGCTAAAATAAAGCTGTCAACACTTTGTCAGAGTGTGAAAAGTAAAGCACGCACGTAAAAATTGATGTGCAGAACGAGGGGATGAACCTTGGCACGCCTGGGAAGGGGAGTCCCACAATACCTTCCACAGAAGTGGATACTTAAGATTCCTATTTTCCTGGAAAAGAAACAAGTTATTAATATTTTTATGCTTATTTGGAAGCCGATGATTACAACAAAGCAAATCTCTTGTAGACAATCCCTTTAGACAGTAACGCTTCATGGGATGTTCTTTTTTTTCCTGTTTTCTGTGTCCGCAGGAGAAAGATGTGATGATTACACCTATGCCATTTGCAAGGCCGCAGGACTTAGGCCCATCTATTGCTATTGTTGCGAAGGTAAACCAAATTCAGGATCATCTGCTAAAGAAACATGATATTGAGCTGTACATGCATCTGAACCGACTGGAAATTGCTCCACAAATTTATGGACTGTAAGTTGTTGCAAAACATTATTTAATTTAATTCCTTCTATTTTTATTTCATTATATTAGGACTTTTTTTTTTTTCCTTAAATTGAGGATTAGAGGAATGGGGATAAAAAGAAGTACTGCTTATCTCTTAGAAGTTATTCAGTTGGCAGCATTACAGTAAGTGACACCCCACTGTTGCATTTGTGACAGTGGCATTCCCAGTGCAGATAACGTCTGTTTAGCTACGTGTTAGAGAACTTGACGAAGACTCCCAGGGCAGTGATGAAGTACGTACTGAATCGAGTACATATTCTACCTGTGGTTTTCCTATAAGAAGAAATGGGATAATAGGACACAAAGAAGGAAGAAAGGGGAAAATTATTAGCATTGAGTGGTTTGTTTACTTAAATTTATCACCAATTCAGTATCAGTCAACTTTCCCCTATTGCAATAATGGGGTTTTGGATACTGGTAATACAGGTGTGGTGGGGCATGTTAAAAGTTAAGGCATGGAGATAATAAAGTACCTGTGTGCGGAGTCAGCCCAGGTAGTCCATTTTCCATTAAGCTGGCTCAGATCCATTCAGCTGGTTGTGTATTGTGCACCCCCGTTCCAGGGGAGCTTATTGAGCCAGGTGTGACTTTGGATGTGGCCTTGTCCACTTTGCACAGCATTGCATCCAACCCAGTTATGGCTGCCATAGTCAGTCTGGGTCAATACCGAGTGTGCAACTTGGATGAACCATGAGTAACTGTGAATTGACTGTGTTTTTGAGGAAGAATTTTGCCTTCATCGTCTGGAATTCTAGACATTTGATTCATTTTGATCATTCCTTAAAGAGTTGGCAAGCTATATGTGCAGTTGCAGTGACAGAAAAATGACACATTTAATTTTTTTTTTTCACTTTTTGCAATGATTTAAAATAAGGTTCGCTTTGCCTTAAATGAAAAAAAAAAAAAGGTTTCATTTATAGGTGTGAATCTCCAAATGTAATTGTGAATTACATTTAACAACTCAATAGAAAATGTAGACAGGGAGGGAAAAGGTGACTGTGTAAATGTCAGGCCATAACTGCAATACTAACATTAAAGTGTAATTTGATGTTATAGTAAAATGGAAAAATGCTGAGACATAGTACGCCCGCAAGAAAAAAGTTGAACTAAGACTGCGTAGTAGTCCCAGACTTACAAATAACATATAGTAGGAAGATAAATGTAATTCTACAAAACTTAAATAGTTTTGATAGGAATGGGTTACAGGAAGAGGAAGAATAAGCCAAGTAAACTCAAGATATTAAAAGTATGAAGAGGACAGATTGTCCTATTACAGTATTTTTTGCATAGTGTAGAGTTGTGTATTTTCTTAGTATCTTCACTAGTCTGGAAGAGAAAGCAAGCATCCTTAATAAACTTCAGAGGTGGTAATGAATAAGTAGGCAGTATAAATATCAAGGAAAACAAAAAGACAGTGTTTCTTTTTTATGAAGGCTTATGAAAACACACAGAAAATAAAATAAGATAAGCCTCAGAAATTTGCAAACAGATATTTTGGGGAAAAAATAATTTGTACTGTAGGTCTGCACTTCAGTATAAGATTTTGCCTTTCAGTAAGAGAAATAATTGAAAGAAAAAATTAGACTTTAGCTCAAAACATAACATTATAATAACAGAAGAATGGTGCAGTCTGGTGTGGCATAAATAGAACTGAATCTGAATAAAGAAATTTACAGTTAAGGGAATGAATTATGAGAGAGAGCTTCAGGCTGACTATCAGGAAAACCTTACTAACAGGGAGCTGTTAGACTGTAAAATAATATATCAAAATTAACAAAGGAAAATCAGAATATTTTAAAGGCAGGCTTTGAAAAGCTCTCAGAAATGGATAGTATCATAGACAATGACTCTGCATTGGCAGAAGAGGAAAGTAGGTTGCCTGTGAGGTCATATCCTTCTCTGATTTCTGATTTAATATAGAGGACAGGAGAAAAAGAAAAAAGAACATGACTGTGTTGTATTATTCTCACCTTTAATGATGTCTGAACTCTTCAAAACAGTAATTTCCAGTAGTGAGCCAGCCGACAGTCGCAGATGCTGGATCTTTTCCTGTATTTAGCATTTCTTGAACTAGAAACAGCATTTCTTAAACTTAATAGGTTATTAATAATTGCTAAACATAACCCAAGTGTAGAATTCATGTGAGCTTTTTGTTAAAGTTTATTGTTTTGCTGAAGTTTGTTGGATTTGCCAACAATAAATATTCATCTGTCAGCCTTGATATCACTCAAAAATATAAAAATGGTAGAAGGAAGACTGGGAACTTCCCTCAAAAGATATTATGACATTCCTGGTGAAAAGTATCAACATGAAAGGCTTGTATTTAGTGGCAGTCTCCCCTTGCCTAAACAAGTTATATAGTTTACTTATTTAAAAATACAGTATTTTATACTTTACATCCTTCTATAACCTTCTCGGGCAAGGTAGATACAATTCTTACTTACTCTTTTTATTTTCATATAGTTGATTTCAACCTTTGATGTTTACAAATAGTCCTTTTATTTTTCAAACACTAGGGAGACTTGTTCTACTGGAAGATCCCTAGTCTGTTGTACATTTCCATGTTCAGAAACTGTCCTTTAAAATAAAATGTGGTTACACACGTCTTGAAATTATGCTTACCTGCTCACAACACCGACTTTAACAGGCATTTCAGTACGTGTGGTATGATTCATTAATTTTGGTTGCTGTCCAGTAGTGCAAAGGTTGTATGCTGGTTTTGTGGAAAAGTATACTCATTATAGTGTTTATGATATCAATGTGAAAAATCTTTATTTTTTCTTCATCGGTTAGTCCTCTGCAGACCGTGGTGTCAGTAGCCTCAGCCTGGTATGCCAGGCTGCATGCTGGGAGGTGCTGCCAGTTTAGAAGAAATATCTTCTCTGGATAGTTTGCAAGGGAGTGGTAGCTCAAGGGAGTGGATTTCATTATCTTCTGGAGGGCATCAGTGAACAGACTTCACATTACCTTCACATTACATCTCATTTCATTGCTGATCAGAAGGAGAACCCTGTTAGGTATAGCAAGGTATACTAGGGTCCTGGTGCTGCCGTATTTCTGTGCTCTGGTCATTCAAGCTGGTGTCATATACAGTAGCAGCCTTAGCACAGGAATTTCTGTAGCTGGAAATTTTGTGAGACCGCCCATTCATTCACTTGCAGTCAGCCGCTGCATATCCCTGTGATAATTATGCAGCTGCTATTAATATCATCCGAAATGGAACCAGCAATACAGAGATAAAGGCTTTGTGCCTTATCATTCTTCAGTCTTCTTTGTTTGCCGTGTCTTTAGCTTGTTTTTAGACCCTAAGATAATGTTTTGCAGAATAACATTGTTTCACATTCCTGGTAGCACTGCGAATTGCGTACAGTCTAACCAAACTATAATAATTATCTAATCATATCTAATTTTGTACTTTGTAAAGTAAAGCACAAGAATGGTTTGAAAATAAAATGGAATTGATTACATTAACAGTTCGGTGACATGCTTCCTGATAATAAACTTTTCTCTAAATAAAAACAAAAAAATGCTAAGATTAAGCAAAAAGAATGGATACTCTGAAGGGCTGACAGATCGAATATTCAGTTTAATTGTAAAATTAGATGAGTTAACAATGATTAATGTCCTAGATTAAATGGTATTCCAGTGTTAATTTCTTTGACCCTTACATCTAATTCATGTTACAGTACAAAATAATTATCGCAAAACCATTCTGCAGTTTCTGCAGTGGCCAGTGTTTGCAGTGGCAAATTAAGCAGGTTGTGCTCTCAGCTTGAGAAAGGACAAGGTTTGAGGAAAGTCTTCATATATCTGTATTTTAGGACATTTTCTTCCATTTATAGTAATTTGTAGTAGAGGACTTCTTTTACATTTTATTGAAAACATGAATCAATTGGAAAAGTCCCACATAATATCATTATTACTGCTTTATTTTATGTATTGAGAGTTTCAAAGTGAATTATATTGCATTAAATTAAATTCTCATAGAACTGCATGCAATAAGTACAGCCAGATCATGTAAATATATATGATATGGTTGTATAGAAATAATGCACACAAAGATAATGACAAGCCATAAGTGTAAAAAGCTTTATTTAAGAATAAAAATTAACTGTTGGCATCAACTCACTAGCTTCTGCATCATAATAGTGATGGTTGTATTATATTGGTTAAGCAAACTCTTTCTAAGCACTTAATCCAACAGACACTAAAGCGCATGCAGAAGTGAGTGTAAATATTTCATGATAGCTTAATCTCAGTACAAAAAAGGCCTTCTTAGAACATTCAGTGCCGATGACTTTGCCTCCCGCTGCCACTCTGCTTTATGATGATCAATCAGGCAGACATACTACCTACTGCAGCTCGAGATGCAGTTTCAGCCCTGTAGGCTGATACCACAATTATACTTCAAGAAGAAGCCTATCTCATGAAGCAAAGAAAAAACAAGAGAAGGGTGCAAACTAAGTTGCAGGGTAACTAGGCACGAGTGTAGATTTGAAGATAGCATTAGAAAGGTTATGTTACAGCAAAGTCAACAGCAGATGTGCTGTTCCACTATTACTATTCTTAGTTGCTTTGCTATGAGCACTGCTGTGGGGCATCCACCTGTTTTAGTTTCTCTCCCATGCCATTATGGTACCAGGCAGTATTCCTTTCCATAACCATATTGATCTCTGGAGGGAGAATTTAAAGGATTTTACCTGTGCAGTAAAGGACCATAAATCATAATCATTGTATCCAGAAAAAAAAAAAAATACCCCACTAGTCATCAGAATAAGAAATCTTCATGATCTCCAGAAAAAGTAGATCAAAGATCAGTCTTGCTAAGGAGAACTTTAGAGATCATTCAGGATGCCTGGGTTTATTTTGGATTCTCACACTTCACCAAAAAAATGAGAGACATAATATATGGCATGGGCCAAACCACCTACAGTTCCTCTGTAGTTTTTAATCCAGTGTCATTAATT